GTTTAGGGAGCCCAGTCTTATATGTGACTTAAGACGGTTGATAATCTTTTATCTTTTAAGTCTTCACTAAAAATTGACACAAATTTTCAACATTTCAACATAACCAGATTTTTAACTTTTGTAATAATTTATTTGATTTTTCTCAGTCTCCAAATGAGCTGTTGAAGAAGTATGACTATGACAACAATGACATACTGAATGTGAAAGAGGAGATACCTGGTCTGAACACAGAGTTGTTCATGAGTGTACCAAGATTGGGACAGACATTTAAAGGTTTTACTGTGCTTTGATATTGCCTTTTATAATATAATCATATCTATGTTCCTTTCTATCACATATTTTAATATTAAAATTTTTAATGAGCCATTGTGATCATTCAGTGGAGTTGTTATAAATTTAAAATCATTTTAGCTTCCATGATTTGATTCCATTATTTTCAAGAATCCCTACAATAATTTATCAATTGTTAATGAATTAAGTATTGTATAAATCCAGATGCAGACTCAAGTGGCATCCCTCTAGCCGTGTTTGAGATGGAAAATTTGAGAGAGCTTCGTCTTGCCAACCAGGGCATAAACTCAGTTCCACAAACCATTGCCAAGCTGAAGAGACTGCGGGTCTTGGAGTTGTCTAACAATCCCCTTCTGGAGAGTGTTGCGGGAGAAGTGGCCTTCTTACCCATTAGAGGTTAGTTTTGACTGTTTGCCTGTGTTGAATTAAAATTTGGTCTTTGATTCTATGTCATTTTTCAATTTTGATCAATGAAGGGGTAACAAAGTTCACATTTTTAGAAAAAGGAATGATTTTTAAATTGAATTAATTTATTGAAAACAAGGCCTGAGATAGATTGAATTGATATTCAACTTCAGATAATGTTAGCCAAGGCTTGAAGCTGGATGGATGCCCTTCCCTGAAGAGTCCTCCGAATGACATAGTGGGCAGAGGAGGAGGAGCTGTCATCAGCTTCCTCAAACGTGTAGCAGGTGGCTTTACTGTCTGCAGGAGGACAAAGCTCATGTTTGTTGGACTGGGAGGAGCTGGGAAAACAAGGTGAGATAGGGACCATTCCCAGACTTTATCATACTAACTGTGGATCGATCTATCTCCAGGGGCATTCTCGCTAAATTGCTATGAACGTAAGCTGCAGGTTAGATGTCTGTTAGGCCTACTAAAGCTGCTTTGGGGTTATTAATTATCGTATAGCAGCTGAAGTAGGCGTGCCAGACATTTAAGCTGCTTAAGCTGAAGGCGATTTAGTGAGAAACCCCTTGGAGATGGATCGATCCTGTTAGATTGACTTAGGTATGGGAGCCCAGTCTTAGACATAGTACAGGGAGGAGCTGGTAAAAAGAGGTGGGTTAAAGATTTGACTGGGCGGATCGATCCTGTTAGATCGACTTAGGTATGGGAGCCCAGTCTTAGACATAGTACAGGGAGGAGCTGGTGAAAAGAGGTGGGTTAAAGATTTGACTGGGAGGAGCTGGGAAATAGCAGTAAGTGAAAGCATTTGGAAAATTTGGTAAGACTCTATTTGGCCTTTCATGTTGAACTTTTGAAAATCTGAATGTTCTCTTGCCAGGGCGTAAAAGGTGGCATTGACAAAAGACCAAGATGTTGAATTTTATGCTCCTTTAACAGTTAAAATTCACTTAACGTCTGTGATAACTGGTAAATTTTCACACGTCTACTTCAGTTTGCTGCGTGCTTTAATGAGTGGTAACTACAAAACAAAATCATTGGGTGCCAAGGAAGTGACCGATGGCATTGACATCAAAGCATGGACAGTGAAGAAGAATGATGGGCCAGAAGTGACCTTCAGCACTTGGGATTTTGCTGGACAGAAAGTGTACTACAACACACATCAGGTGGGTGACAGTCTTATTTGACACTCATTTTCTTAAGCTGGGAAACAAAATCACAGGTCTCTAGTCTGCAATTTCAAAGTTTCCTAATAAGCTGGTAAACAAAAATTTTTTTTAAGTCTGTGGCCAGCAATTTTCATAAGCCAGTAAGCAAAATACAGGTCCCTGAACAGCAATTTGAAAGGGAGGTTTTTTTCTGACAAAGTGGACCTCTTTACCCTCTTAGTTGACCCCTTTTGCAAAGTAGAATAAAACAAATGTCAAGTTTTTATGACAGACCCTTTCCAGCCAAAAAGGCATTTTTTTACCCCCCCCCCCTCCCCCTGCGTACAGACCTGTACATTAAAATGTTTTGTACATTATTCTTTGTGTTCTGTTTCCCTAGTTTTTCCTGTCCAGTAGAGCAGTGTACCTTCTGCTGTGGACCACCAGATCTGGCTACGAACACGCAGGACTGGAGTTCTGGCTGAGCTCCATCGCCAGTCACGCTCCTGGAGCACCTGTTTTTGTCATTGGGACGCGAGCAGATGAGGTATGACTGTGTCAATCTCTGTCTGATATCAAGTACTGAATAGTGGTGATATTTCTTTTTCCTAATAAGGATGCTGGGCCTTTTGGTAACATGACGGGCAAATATTGAATCTTTAAATCTGTAAATTTTAATTTATTTTTAAAAGTTAATACAGCTTCAAATGAGTTCTCCATCAGATGTTTTGATTTTGATGAATTGAAATTTGAAGAGTTAACATAAAAGTTCACTTGTTAAAGATACACAGTGACCGTTTTTTAGATTGTTTCACTTTGATAGTATGATTAACATTCTTATTACCTTCTACAGGTTGATAAGCCAGAAATTCCCATGGAGAAACTACAGAAGAAATTCCCCCAAATTGCCGGCTTTCATTTCATCAGCTCTCTCACTGGACAGGTATGAAATATGAAGTGGTCAGCTGGAATTTGAAAGACTGAATTGTTAATCTGGGCTCTGTAAATCGAAAGCATCACTAATTGCAATAGCTTTATCACTTTTTAATTCGCGGCTATTATATAGGGCGAGTAAATCCCAAGTTATGGAATAGAGGCAAATCTCCATGCTTGCACTCAGTCGCAATTTGCGATGCTTTTAAGTTACGGAGCCCTGGTGCTGTTATGGCGATTTATTAAAATAATCTCAAGATTTTGCAGTTTGGACAAGGTTGTTACTATTTATTACTTGGTCAATACTTTTAGGTTATAACGTACGTGTAAAGTTGATAGAGTCAGTTGGTGCTTTCAAGGTTAATAAAGCAAGTGCTGAGTTTTTCAAATGAAATTATGTACTGAATTGTTTTCCAGTAGATAAAAAAAATTATGCTGCTAAGGTATGTGAGAAAACAATGATATTGTGCAGAAAAATAGACTAATCATTATAAGCGAATAAATAACATAATGCAGAATTAAACCTTAATAATGATCATTATACAGTGAAGGTTGATTTAAGAAACCATATTCTATTGTGTTGTCAGGGTATCCGTGTGTTGGAGGACCGGCTGGTGGATGTGACTTTGGCACAGAAATATATGGGTGAACAGATCCCCACTGTCTGGCTGAAACTGGAGACCGCTATTCTCACGTAGGCTTTATTAGGACACGCAGGCCCATGCATGCACACACCCACACACACATCAAATGCATAATTTATCAATTATTAAATGCAGGTTGGCAGAGATAGTATCAACATATCCTAATGTGACTGTTTCCTTGCTAGCTTTATTTATCATTGTTTTAGCCAAATATATAGTCATTTGACTTTGAAATATGTCATTGTGTAAACTGCTTTGTATTATTTTATTTTATTTCATTTTATTGTGTTTTACTTTATTTCGTAGCATGAAGGAGAAGAAGAAAGTGAGCATTGTTAAGTGGGAAGAGATTGCTGCAATGGCAAATGAAGTTGGAATTTATGAAGAAGATGATGTGAGGATGCTTATGCTTTTGGTTCTCATACAAGAGACTTCTGTGACTTGCACTTTTTTCTTTAAGCAACTGAATTTAAATCTGAAAATAAACCACTTAAGAATTTCTCAGAGTAGCAACACAGAGCCGTGTTTCAATGACAATTGATTAATGATGATTGCTCAAATTCTCTACCAAAATGTTATTAATAATTGTGATCTTCATAAACAATGTTCTTGTTATTCTATTTCCAAGGCTTTGTCTTTGAATATAATGATAGTAAGAAACTATTGCACTTTGCGTACATGCCTGATCCAGCAAAATATATAACCATCAATATAAGGATTATGGTAATGTTTTCAAAACATGATATTATTTCAAGAAAACATAGAAAACATTTTAAAGCCATTTTAAAAAATGCATTTGAATAACCTTTCAGAAAAAGTTCTTATGCTTCATATTAAAAAATGCCAAGTCTCTGATTTTCATTTTTAACCTATATCCTGACTTGAATTTCACTGTGAATCACTGTGTTCTTGCAGCTGAAGGAAGCCATCCAGTTCCTGACCTACCTCGGCTCAGTCCAGTATTTTGACAACGAGTTCCTGAGGAAATACGTGGTCATCAACCCGCAGTGGATTGCTGATGTCATGGCATGTGTTGTGTCCATTAAGGCCAATGCCATTAAGGTGAGACTATTAAGGCAAATGTCATTAAGGTGGTGGTGGTGGTGGTGGTCAATTAAGGCCAATGCCATTAAGGTGAGACTATTAAGGCAAATGTCATTAAGGTGGTGGTGGTGGTGGTGTCTATTAAGGCCATTGCCATTAAGGTGAGACTATTAAGGCCAATGCCATTAAGGTGGTGGTGGTGGTGGTGGTGGTATCCATTAAAGCCAATGCCATTAAGGTGAGACCACTCTAGATAGAGACTTGAGATCATTTCTTTCAACATGAGCAGAGAGTACAAAAATTACAATTAATATTCAAAAATTAAATTAATATGATAATACTTAATAATTTTTATAGTCAATTATTATAAATAAAACTTGCATTGCAGCTTTCCATACTTTTTAGTGACTCAGAAATGCCTTCTTGTCAATATGAACACACAGTCCTTATAATCAGTTAGAGACACAAATATTAACCAAAGTCACTTACAGAAACATTACTTCTAGTACTCTTTTTAAATATAGATTTTTACTACATTTATACTTCTTCTTGCAGGATGGTCGCCTCAACCACTCGGACATCGGTGTCATCTGGAAGGCGTATGACAAGGAGTATCACGAGTGGCTGCTGATGTTGACCCAGGAGTTTGATCTGACCTTCCCCTTGCCAGATCAGAAGGTCAACCTGGTCCCTTGTCTGCTGCCTGGAGAGGAGCCAAAGGTCAGTCTAAAACTGACTGAATTTTGATTTGTTTTCTTTATCTATTTATTTTTACGTATTTATCAATTCACTTTTGTATTTTTTTTTTTAGAGTTTTAAAAAACTTAAGATTCTTTCATGAAGTCCATGTTCATTTATCATAAAGGATTAATCATGCATGCAAAACACACTTCCTAGATTGATCAACAAAATTCAGTGTGGGATATTTTTGCTTGCTAGTTATATTACATGTAATAGATGTACAACTGTTGTGTGCTTTTAAGCACAAGCACTGTATTTAGGAATTTCTTTCCACCAGAGGAACTGGTAATTTGTCAAGCTGAATAGCTACTAGGTGTGTAGACATTATAAGCTTCTCAACATGTAAAGTTCTGAAGTAAAATAATTTAAACTTTTGTCCCAGCACCAATTTCTGTCACCCAGGGGCAGTAATCTCTTTTCCTCGCCCTCAAATTCACTAATCTAATTTTAATAACCATTTTTCACATTTCCAGTATGACTGGCCTGAGCTGGAGGCAGACTCGGGGATCAGAGAGACCAGGATGTTGTATCAGTTCACATATTTGCCAACTGGATTGTTCAACAGGGCACAGGTAAAACATCTGTTTTACAAAATGACTGGAGTTTTGTGCTTTGTGAAGACAGCTTTTCATAAGTTAGTTTATAAAATTAGTTTTGTCTTATCAGTCTCAAACAATTTTATAAATGGATACTATTTTTGTTACAGTTTTTTTTGAATCATTATAATAAAGTTTTCATATTGTTTTCTAAAAGGTCATTCAAAACCATTTTTTAAAATGCTTTTAAAATGTTTTCTAAGTTTTCTCAAAATATTATCATGTTTTGAAAACATTTTTCTTGAAACATAATAATTTTTAAAAAAATGTTTTCGAATAATGTTTTAGAGAAACATTTTTAAAAAGTTATCAAATAACATTTCAGAAAATCATTTTTAAAATGTTTTTAAATAACGTTTTAGAAAAACATTTTAAAAATGTTTTTAAAATAACATTTTAGATAAAGATTTTTAAATGTTTTCATATAACATTGTAGAAAAACATTTTAAAAAGTTATTGAAATATTTTTGAAGTAACAATTTAGAGAAACATTTAAAAAATGCGTTCGAATAACGTTTTAGAAAAACATTTTCAAATAACATTTTACAAAAATATTTTAAATATGTTTTCAAATAACATTTTAGAAAAACATTAAAAATATTTTTAAATAACGTTTTAGAAAAACATTTTAAAAATGTTTTTAAATAAGGTTTTAGAAAAAAAATTTAAAATTTGTTTTAAAATAACATTTTAGAAAAACATTTTTAAAATGTTTTTTAAATAACATTTTAGAAAAACATTTTTAAATGTTTTCATATTACGTTTTAGAAAAACATTTTTTAAAATGTTTTCAAATAACGTTAAGAAAAAAAAATTTAAGTGTTTTTTATATAACATTGTAGAAAAACATTTTAAAAGGTTATAGAAATATTTTCGAAGTAACGTTTTAGAGAAACATTTAAAAAATGTTTTTCGAATAACGTTTTAGAAAAACATTTTTTACATGTTTTCAAATAATGTTTTACAAAAATATTTTAAAGATGTTTTTAAATAATATTTTAGAAAAACATTAGAAAAATTTTTAAATAACATTTTAGAAAAACATTTTTTAATGTTTTCATATAACGTTTTAGAAAAACATTTTTAAAATGTTTTCAAATACCGTTTTAGAAAAAAATTTTTAAGTGTTTTCATATAACATTGTAGAAAAACATTTTTTAAAAGTTATAGAAATATTTTTGAAGTAACATTTTAGAGAAACATTTAAAAAATGTTTTCGAGTAATGTTTGAGAAAAACATTTAAAAAATGTTTTTAAATAACATTTTAGAAACACATTTTTAAAATGTTTTTTAAATAATATTTTAGATAAACATTTTTAAATGTTTTCATATAACATTGTAGAAAAACATTTTTTAACAGTTATAGAAATATTTTTGAAGTAACGTTTTAGAGAAACATTTAAAAAATGTTTTCGAATAATGTTTTAGAAAAACATTTTCAAAATGTTTTCAAATAATGTTTTACAAAAATATTTTAAAGATGTTTTTAAATAACATTTTAAAAAAACATTTAAAAAATTTTTAAATAACATTTTAGAAAAACATTTTTTAATGTTTTCATATAACGTTTTGGAAAAACATTTTTAAAATGTTTTCAAATACCGTTTTAGAAAAGAAATTTTAAGTGTTTTCATATAACATTGTAGAAAAACATTTTTTAAAAGTTATAGAAATATTTTTGAAGTAATATTTTAGAGAAACATTTAAAAAATGTTTTCGAGTAATGTTTGAGAAAAACATTTAAAAAATGTTTTTAAATAACATTTTAGAAACACATTTTTAAAATGTTTTTTAAATAATATTTTAGATAAACATTTTTAAATGTTTTCATATAACATTGTAGAAAAACATTTTTTAACAGTTATAGAAATATTTTTGAAGTAACGTTTTAGAGAAACATTTAAAAAATGTTTTCGAATAATGTTTTAGAAAAACATTTTCAAAATGTTTTCAAATAACGTTTTACAAAAATATTTTGAATATGTTTTCAAATAACATTTTAGAAAAACATTAAAAAAATTTTTAAATAACGTTTTAGAAAAACATTTTAAAAATGTTTTTAAA